GAACTATGAAGGATCTTTATAATAATATAAGTTCTCATTTAATTATTTCATTTTTAAAAGAATTCGATTTGTTGAATGATTTCTAAATAGATAAATCTTTTATGTTTGGATATAAAATTAGTATCTTCGATTGTGAGTGGCTGTAACCTCAAAGGGGGTTAAAATACTGTAAAATGATTGACCTCCTGAGAGGATACGTAAGTCCAAAAAACATTCAAAGTAATGTTCAATTTCCCACTGTTTTTAATCGTAGAATACGTGTTTTTTTAATGTATGGCTAGATTTACTAAATTCCTAACAGCTGAAGGGATGGTGTAAATCCAGCTAGGGTCTATGCAGGAAGCAAATGTACTGTAAGCCCCCATGGTCCCTAGTATGGTGATCTACCTTCAGTTGTTGGCAACATATAGCCTGTTTTTGCCTTGTGTTGTCATCTATAGTTAGTGAGTGAGTGAAATATGCAAATTTGCGTAACGGCTACCAAGCTACATCAAGTGTCCTCGTACTTTCAGTCAACATCACGGTTTTTTTTCTTATTGTCTTCATAGAGCAATAGTCCTGGGACTGTTTCCCATATAGGCCTTAAATCCAGAGTTGGCGGCACCCCTACTCCAACATAGGTTTCTTGGTGTTTTCTTCTAGTTTAAACAATACATTTATGAATTCCAAACATAAACCAAAAATAAATCTGTCCGTTCTGTTACAAAATGTGTGTTTACTGTTGATGGTTGTAAACTTACCAAATATGAACAAAACATGCAATATGCCAAACAATGATGAATTTATGACAAATATTTCCATGATATCATTTAGTTCTACCGTATATAACTAACTACAACACTTATAATAATGTTTGTAAGTGCACATGTGATAAATGAACACATTTTTGTCCCAAATCGTTCATTTTTTTATCTCTCATTTTAACGCTCACAGTGACATTGTTTGTTATATTATGACAACTTTTGCTTTTATACTGTGATGCATGCATATTCTTATGTTGGTATATTTAAGATCCATCAAGCCAGAAGAAACTAATTAACCTTTCCATATCCCTACCCCTAGCAACAGCAAATGTGAGTGACGGGTGAGCCCAAGAACATTGAGTTATGGAATCTGTGAGCAAACGCAACTTATGATATATTTAGACATTATGCAATGCATTTACTGCACGTCAGCTAGATAACATTGCACAACTAAACAGGATGGAATCTTGATTACACGACTGTTGGGTTGTGATTTCAAGATCTAAATGATGGAGATAAAACGACCTCGTACAGCAAGTACTGGCAAATGTTTATGCCATAGTTACTGACAAAATCCGGGAAAATTGGAAACATTTACACCAACATCGTGGAACACATTCTGTAGTGCTGCAAAACGTCGAAAAGGCTCTGTTTACATGAAGTTGAAGAAGTATATTGATAGTGAAATTGAGTTACCCAAGGCTGTGACTGAGTTGGCGAAGCACCATAACTGTTATGCTACATACACCTTAGGCAAGAGTATTGAACTCTCTGAACAAAAACAACAGCAGACACAGAAACAAAGTGAGACATCAGAGTGTAGCTCAAGTTTAGTACCATTGTGTCACGATCCATTGTTTCTCAATCAGACAAACGTCTGCATGGAGACGGGCGCAAAGTAGAAGCTGCCAGCCCAATGACTTTGTACTCAGCTGTTGAAACATTATGTAGAGCTGCAACAATATTCAGAGGGTACTCATACAGCTGGCAGGAGGTGCAAGAGGAGGAACCGATAGTATTGCTTGTGATGTACTTGATCATGTCGTAGTACGTATACCCACAGTAAACGTCTTACCTCTGTCCAGGAAAACACATCCAGAGACAATGCCTATAATGAGGCATTGAAACGTCTTTTAAATGAAATTCAAAAGGGAATCATTGATAGATGTGAAGTTTGGAAGATGTCTGATGTTATAGATAGATTTATTGAAATTCTTGAAGATGTGGACATCGATCAGCCAAATTACAGGTCAGACAAACTGAAGAAACGTATCATAAAGATATTTGGAAAGACGATTTCTTTCTGGCATCCAAAGTTTCGAAGTGAATCTGAGATGATATTTTCTGATATCGTCCCAAAAGGCATGCATATTGAAGCAGGGGCCTCAAATGTCAGAGATTTGCGGAGGCAAGATATGGAAGATTTTGATAATGTTGGACTACATCTTGATAAGAAAACTGAACAAGTGCGTCAAAAATGCTTAGTATCACTGATGGTTCACCATGAGGTACAAACAGTTAGAGACATGCCTTGGCCACCATCACCGCAGGACATTTCAGAAGAGTCACTAAGCGGTGTGGTTCTTGTGATTCTATTCAATCTTTTGGCATCGATTATTGTTGGAATCGTCGATGATAAAAACGAAAAATTGAATATGGAACATCGGTTTAAAGTTCCGGAGCCAGTAGAGAGGCAAATTCTTGCAATTGCACAAGACATAGTGTATTGCAGCCGTAAAGGTAGAATATGTGTACCCAAAGCATGTAACATTGGCTGCTTCAGTGCATTATCTCACAGATAGTATGGAACTAATGTCTACATTTAACCACTTCGGACGTTACATTTCAAAATCAAAGCTCTCAAGAAATTGAAAGCGCTCTGGCAGAAATGCGCCCACAAAATCAAAGGGCTGCAGTGGTGCCGGCAAACATATCTTCAAATGTTCCAGTATGTTTAGTTTGGGATAACAGTGACTTCCAGAAAGAGACTGCCTCTGGTAAGAACACAACTCATTGCACCACTGGAATTGTTATACAGCCTAGAGTATCAACTTGTTCTCTCCCACAAAGAGAGGCAGACACTGCTCCAACTCGCAGAAGATCAGTGCAGCCAATTGTCGACCAGTTTATTGAAGAGTATACATATGGCAACAAACGTGTTGGACCTGAACGAATTCAGGGGCCAGTAGAACTGTTAGCTTACAGAACTGCAGAAGAACCATAACATGCATACAGGACAGAAATGGTTCACGTCACGATATGACTGAGATATTGCCGATGTGACGTTAAATCTTAACTCACTCACTCACGTCTTACTGCTGACTTCACATGCCCGCAAGAGGAACACATTCAGACCACTCCTGGCTGGTGTGGTTTCAATGATATAATAAGAGAGCATGATGTCATTCCTTTGCCACACAGTGTAGGGTACCTTCCTGTGATAAGATACTCCACCAACAAATCTCAATTCAGTCTACACCCTCATGCACAGATCTATGGAAACTGTTGATATGATCAGTTGTAATTCTAACTATTCAGTGCTAGTGACTTGCGATCAGGCATTTTTTTGCACTTTCTTTTGAAATATACCATTCACCACTGCATGATACCTTAGAGAGAATTGTGTTGCGCATGGGAGCTTTCCACATCCTACTCAATTTCCTGGCAGTTATTGCGCGGCATTGTTTAGAAGCAAAACCAGAAGCGTTTCTCCACATGGGAATGGCTGGAGGATTGATGGAGACATTATAGTGCACTGGATGGACACCCCAGCAGCTCCAAAAGCTGTGATTGAATGTGTTAGCTGCAAATGACAGAGTTGCGCCAGTATTCGTTGCACATGCAGGGTCAATCAAATAAGATGCACCGGTGCTTGTCACTGCAATATCAACGAATGTCAGAATCGGACAAACACAACTACAGATATGGATCAACACAATTATTATCTGAAGATTTTGACTGAGAATCATCGTGAACTAAACTGTTTTGCACACAACTTTTGCTGCCATTAGTTCTCTCACAAAGGCAACAAACCAACTATTAACAGTGTTGCACAAATAGAGTGAGTGAGTTTAGTTTTACGCAGCACTCAGCAACATTCCAGCTATATGGCGGCGGTCTGTAAATAATAGTCTGGACCAGACAATCCAGTGATCAACAGCATGAGAATCGACCTGTGCAATTGGGAACCGATGACATGTGTCAACCAAGTCAGCAAACCTGACCACCCGATCCCGTTCTTACGACAAGCATGGGTTACTGAAGATCAATATTCTAACCCGGATCTTCACCGGTATGCACAAATAGAAATCAGCTGCAGACACTATATTTTTATATAACATCATAGCTTTTGAACATACGAAAATGTTGATATGCATTTGGTATAACTTGCAAACACACATATTTGATCAGATAAAACAAAAATGCTAATCATGAGCAAATTGCAGTAAAAAACACAATAAATTTGTGAAGAACAAAGTTATTTTGCACATATTTAACTTTAAACATCTCTGTAAATGCTATCATCATGCTACCAGGTTAATTTTGCATGTTTCTGCTAATTTCTGAGTAGATTTATAGCAATTTGATTTACATATGACACATAATATGTTTTTGGTTAATTGGTCATTTTTACTGTATCCTCGATAATGAAACTTGATTTTTGTAACAGAACGGACACTTTTATTTTTGGTTAATGTTTTCAAATCATGTATATACACACCAAATAGTATTAAGAATTAACGTCACATCGGCAATATTTTAGCCATATCGTGACGAGAACATATATGACATGGAAATGGAATTTATGTATATTATATAAACCTGTCGACAAAGGACAGTAAAACAACCAGAATATCACAATTAGAATTAAAACTAGCGTGGAAAGTTAAAACTAATAGCACTATTTGGACAATACAATATAAAAACAGGCTATAGATCGCCAACAACTGAAGGTAGATCACCAAACTAGGGACCATGCCAAATATCATGAATTGTCAAGATACCTATGTTAGAGCAGGGATGCACGAAAGTCATAATTTCTGGAACAGCCCTAGGACTACAAAGGACTGTAAAGTCATGCCAACACTAATCGTGTAAATCCCCATGCTCTACAACCAAAGAAAGTATTATAATTCCAGGCAAACAAAGAGTCGTGACAATCAAATAATATCCATCAATTGCTTAAAATTAATATCTCTTTAAACATTTTGTGTGTATCTAAAAAGTTATTATATACACATTATTTTCCTTCATCAGGTCATTAATCCGGTGGCTGGTATAGTTCGCAAGACTGGCGCGTCAGAGGTCACCATCAAACCAACTGATTCAGACTTCAAACAGTATGAGATTATCATAGCCAACATAAATGCCTCAGTTGGGGATGAGGATAAGCATTTTGAACAGGCACGGGTAATAGGAACATCCGGAGGCAACAACGGGTGTGACTGGCCTCACATTCATATTGCTGTCAAGAAGAAATCTCAAGGAGCGGGTGATGACTTGTGCTTCTACATGGACCCATCACCCTTTGTCAATATTTTGAAACTGAAACCTGTCTGGCGCCAGGAATGCAAAGACTTCATCACTAAACACTTCGGACAAGTTGCAGATCTGATATCGATGCCTAATTTTTTGAAACAGGTTTTGGGAAAGCTGAAACGAGAAGCGCTAGACTGGCTGAAAGGGTTTTCTGTTCAACTGCTAAAAAAAATCATCCCCCCAGATTCGGAACTAGGGAAGGCCATGAGCTTCACAAGCAGTATTCTCGGATCTCTGTCTGACGTAACACAACTGTTCACAGGATTTGAGTAATTACCATTATAATTATTTGTACGATTGAGATGAACTTAACATGATTGTTAAGAAAAACATTGTTTAGTGTCATCGGAATGCGAGAATGTCGGATTAACGAGAGTAATTATCACTGTTTTAAATGGTTCCCTAATTTTTTGTCGGAATAACGTGATTGTCGGATTAATGAGTGTCGGATTAACGAGAGCTGACTGTATAGTCAAAAGCATGTTTTCCACATACAAACGTTTCATGCTTTCAAGTATCTGTAATAAACCTATGATGGATTTGTTTCAGGGGCCATATGAATCATTTCCTCTCTGCAATTAAAACCAATGTCAAGGGGAAAGATTTTGGATCATTTTCGAGAATGTTACTGGCAAATGACCGCTTGAAGAACCGTGTCCCTAAACTGTCTGGTTTGCTTGGAAATGCAACGTCATTACTGACGAAATTACCAATCGGTAATCTGAAAACATTTGCAAATGGTGGTCTTGGTAAACATCTTAGACAACTTGGAATTATTCCCCAAGGAGGGAGACTAGCCAGCATCTCTCTCCTGAAAACGTCCATGTTTACAAGTAAGAACCACAAAACAATGTCATTAAAACACTACAGTTACGAAACATAATAAAGCAACCATCTGTTTGTTAGAGAGTGCAATAAAAGTTAAAAGCGATATACGAGCACACAGGCATGACGGAGGACAGACTGTTTACTTCCTTGATTAAGGAAAGCATTTTTCATATGTTAAAAGAAATGGCATTGTTTAGTTTCGTAGTTATTGCAACTTGACTTTTCACAAATGCCTTGCGCTAGCTGTCGTAGTAATTATGCACCTTGCATTGCTTGTACCATATCCATGCTCATGGGTTTCTACCAAAGCTGTACACGCTAAGGGCTCTAATAAGTTCACGCTTTCCTCCCACGTCAAGATGATATGCCGTCATATTACTTAAGTATTGTTCAAAGAGACTACAACTGGTTCAACTTAGTTCAGTTATTGTCCGAAGTGGCTCCTCACTCTTGAACAAATACACTTTTTTTCTAAATTTCATTGTAGTCAGTCTTTTAAATTAAAATATCAGTGTAGTTTACTTGGATTCATTTTGTCGCATTATGGTTTCAGTGTGTCCAAACTTTAAAACTGGCTTCCAGTATGGCCATGATCAGATGTGTACAGCTGATGAAGATTGTCTTGGATTCTCTTGTCATATTGATATACCACTGAGCAATATTAAGGGTGGAATCCCATTGAAAGTCAAGGTTCATCCTCTCGAGGCCAAGGTTGACGTTGAGCTGAATGGTGAAAGAATGATTGCTCCCAAAGGTAATGCAATGGATATTAAATTCCCAAGTTATGGTAGAGATGGTATTAATTAATAATAACAATTGACTTAGTTTTCCATGTGTTTGTGATTGATGGAAGAGGTACAGGATCTGCTCACGTTTTCGCGAATTCCAGATATAGCCAATATTTGATAATCGTTCATAAACCAATGCGATTGATTTAGTCAGCACTAGCCTAAAAAAGATGCATTATGATTATATATATATTTGGACAAATCTGTTTCTTTTTCGTAGCGTTCATTTCAGAACGATTTAGTGTGGTTGTTGTATCTCAGTTTGAAAGACCCACTTGCCACCCCTATGTATGGCACTTATGACACTGTGTCCACTTGAGTTGTTACATTGGCTTTGTAGATTATACAGATATATCTGGCAACTCAAAGGAAACAATGTCAACTATGAAATAAAATGGAACATTTTAATGCAATCAAACATAAGCAAGCGAGACTCAGGATTATGTAACCTCTGTATTGAAGAGAAGCTAGAAATTCTCAACAACAAAGGCAACAAGATCAACAAAAAGAGTGAACTACTTTCAACCATGGAAAGCACGCAAGCCGAATGAGAAAAAAATAGTTCCAAGCAACTTGATTTCAGTTTGTCTGATGATTGCCGCATAGAGCACTTGTGTTTGTGTGTGCATGACACTCTGAGTAACAAACATGAAATAATCAAGTATACTAAACATACATATATACTTGCTCCGCCACATATATATATATACATCTGAAGATGTTGCCTTGATCGATTAAATTCAATCCCTTATTTCATCATTGCATTCATATTTTATTAACTAACATCCAGATTATTTCCCCCACATAACAAAACCAAAAACTAAATATGATGTAGGTATTTTAGAAACGATTGGCATCAAATATCACTTTTGCATAAGGACTCATGACGTCTTTTCCACATTGTAGTAGTGTATATGGTAACGGTATCTTTTTTGTAGGCAACAGTGTCTTCTGGACGGAATATCGACCAGTTTCATTCGGTCTCAAAAGTTCTGTGGAAATACAGGGTGGAGAACTTGTAGTTTCGCTATCTGTCAAGCCTTGCTACAGATCAACGTGTGTTCATGACATCAAAATCATCAGGCAATTAGCTTTTCATCAGAGACACAAACATGATATTTCTGGTTAGTAAAACAGCTTACTAATTTACATTGATGTCTTTTTTGTGATAGTGAGTATAAATCCTACGTCACATCGGCAATATTTCATCAATTTCGTGACGACAGAAAGTCATATACTGTGAGTAAATACATCTATATATTCTACAATCTGCCGAAAGGACAGTATAACAACTAGAGTATCACAAATTAAAATTAGTTTGAGTTCAGTCTAAAATGCTTAATCATTTAAAAAACACACTATAAAATCGGGCTATATATCGCCAGCAACTGAAGGGAGATCATTCTATTACTTTTGCTACCTGCATCTCTTCAGTTGTTTTGAGCAAGTTAGCCAAGCAATTTTGGTAATGCTTGGCAGCAACAAGTCAAGATATTGAAACTACAATTAAAACTCTGGTAATGATAAACATGGATTGAATGATGTGGTCTTCAGTACCCTCTTCAGAGGACAATTATTCTAGGAGGTATTCAACCCCCTCCAAAGGTCCTGCCACACACAACCTAAGTTATGTATTCATTTGACCAAATATAAAACGAAGCATTAAAAGACTAAAAAAACATATCCTTTAAAGATGATACTGTGAAATATCGATCCCATGTAATGGCAAAAAATCAATACAGTTAAGCAAGACATGCCTGACTGTGATTCTTTCATCACTAGGGAACCGCCGCCATATAGCTGGAATATTGCTGAGTGCGGCGTAAAACTAAACTCACTCACTCACTCACTCACTCATCACTAGGGATACCAATACGCCACCATCCTTGGATCCATCTGTAAATAAGGATTTGTATGTGTTATATTTACATTTTATTTGATACATTTTTTGTATATATTATAATTCATTAGTTTAAGATTCATTAAATGTTGTCAGTGATAGGTCAGCTTGTGACCTAGGAGGAGAAGAAATTATGCCGGAAGGAGATATATTATGCAGCTCAATACCAGCAGCAGAAATGAAAGGTTTTACTCTTATCTCAAGAGGCAGAACAAAAGAAGACTCCTTGTTGTACATATCCTCATAGAGGGGATTAAAGACACAGTTATATGCAGGGTTAAGACTATAATTTAGTGATATACTGCAAAGATAATTTGATACGGCGTTTGTTAAGAGAAGGCTAATCAGCTTCAACGTCGACACTGTCAATAGGGGAAGTTCTGAAAGATCCAAAACAAAGTCTTAGACCTTGGTGGTGGATAGAATCAACTACTATACTGAGTCAAAACAGAAACTTCACAAAATGTAATTTGAAAAATATTGAATAATTTTTCTGTGATGATACATCTATGTATCCGAAATGGGATCCCTATCTTTCGACTCTAGAAAAACGTTAGAAAAACCCACTCAAACCCATCCATTCGTCGTGCAAATGACGTTAGTGCCAAATCAGGTTTTGCACGTGCAGTCGATCACGTGATCTTCGCATCGAAGTTTTCTTCAAATGCACGTGTTTGCATTGGCCTCAAGAATTGAAAAAACACTTGTAAACCACAGTTCTAACGGTACTTGAAATGCCACGATTGTCAAATGCGCAACGTGAACGTGCCGTTGGCATGTTGCAAGCGGGAAGATCAGTTATTGACGTCGCAAGAGCAATGGGATGCAGCCGTCGTACTGTGTATGACTTGCGAGGTCGTCTACAACCAGCTGGCACCACTTCTGATCGCCCAAGGTCGGGTCCTCCGCGTGTGACGTCACGAGCAGAAGACCGTCAAATCGTCCTACGTCACCTACGTGACAGATTTCTGCCGGCTACACGAACCAGGGCTGATATGTTTAGAGGTCGACTGTCCTCAGAGACCATTCGAAATCGGTTGCGGGCTGCCAATCTCCATTCTCGACGTCCACATCGTGGGCCAATATTGACGCCGTTTCATCAACGTCAACGTCTGCTGTGGGCCCAACGTCACCTCTGATGGACCCAGAGAGACTGGAATCGAGTCGTCTTTAGCGATGAATCCAGGTTTACCCTCAGATGCGCGGACGGCAGGCATAGAGTCTGGAAACGACGTCGTGAACGGTATGCCCAATGTTGTGTACAGGAAGTCGACAGATTCGGGGGCGGAAGGTGCATGGTGTGGGGTGGTTTCTGTGGGAACAATCGTTCCCGACTTCTGGTCATCCGTGGAAACCTCACAGCTGCTGCTTATCACGACCAGGTGCTCACCCCTGAACTCGTTCCTTTCATGGCGGTTCATGGCATAGGTCTACAGTTCCAGCATGATAATGCTCGGCCGCATACAGCGATGTTGACACGAAATTTCCTTCAAAACGCTGGAATCAACGTCATGGACTGACCATCGAGGTCCGCTGACCTTAATCTAATAGAGCACGTTTGGGATGCACTTGGGAGAACGCTTCATGGTCTTAGGAACCAACCTTGCAGGAACGTGGCGCTGCCTTGCAAGAGCAATGGCGCAGAGTCCCCAACCACGTGTTCACAAGCATCAGGCAGTCGATGAGGAGACCCTGTTTGGCAGTGGTGAATGCGCGGGGCGGCCATACACGATATTGAACTGAGAAATTTCGCATTTTTATTCTTGTGACTTGACATTCTGTATACCCATGTTTTGGAACGGCGGTGTAGCCTAATGGAACTGATTATGGCACTGTCTGTGTATCGAGTACATCACACATATCTCAGCAATGAAATAATAACAATTTAACCATCTTACAATCTCTTGTTCTTTTATAGTGGCCTGAAGAAAGAATGTGAAGTTTCTTTTTTGACTCAGTATAGTTTCAGACTGCGTTTACAAGCCCCCACCATATACGATGGTGCCGTAATCACGTTGTTATCGGGTGAGTGATCTGTGATCTGTTTGATTCCCTCCCCACTTTGAATTGGGAACAACTTTCAATAAATCTAAGACCTTCAGGCATCTAGAATCGGTTCGGGATCTTTATGAGGTTTATATTTTCGACAGAAATGTACACATTTGGTCTTTATCTGCGCAAATTTAAAGCCATTATCAAGTGACCATTTATATATTATGTTTTAACACATATGTAATTGTCTCTCTATGGTATGGATATTTTTACCATGACATGAGGCGTTATTTTCAAAATCATCCAAAAACAATGACTCATCTATCTTTTGAGAGACTATTGGATTTTATGCTAAACAAAGTTACAGACAAAATACTGCCTTATGGAACCCCCTGATCTTGATTATAATGGTCATACAGGGTTGATCCAAAACGAACTTGAAATTGTCTGTCTGTCTGCTAAAAATTGTGATATAGAATGAGACAGATGGCCTCTCAAACCAAAGGCATGTAAATGTTTCCATGTTTTAATCATAAGCTTTTTCCAGGTTGAAAAAGATTGATTCAGCATGCTCGTTATATACAATGGAATATTAATGAATGATTCTAGTCGAACCAAATGGTCAACAGTGCTTCTATAATCAAAGGCAAAAGATAGTGTGATCAACACATTTGTTTGTATAAATGGGAAAATGGTTATAACGCATTTTAATATCCTTTATAACTCACTTAATCAATGAAAGGTGGCAATCCATTGGAATGGTTGAAACAGGAACACCCCAGCGAAACGTTGCACGGCAGTTTAACGTGCACAGGAACACCATATACCGCTTGTAGAGATGCTATCAACAAAACTCCGTCGTTGCAGTCCGTCCCCGAAGTGGCCGTCCACCTGTAACCACACCACGCAACGATCGTTGGATTCGAACCACCCATCTGCGCCAAAGATTCAAAACCAGCCACATTGACAGCTCAAACAGTTCCTGATGTCAACAGGAGATTGCCAAGGACCATTCGCTGGCGTCTGACTGCACGCGGGATACGTGCTAGACGTCCTGCCAGACGACACATTTGACATTACGTCACCAACGTCTACGACTCCAGTTATAGATATGTCTTCACTGAAGAGTCCAGATTCCTATTGCACCGCGCTGATGGCCGAACCGAGATCTGTCCCCTATCGAACACGTCTGGGACGAAATGGAGAGGAGATTGAGATGTTATCCAAATGCTACAGTCATGCGTCAGGAACTACGCCAGGTGCTTCCACAGATATGGAATGCCGTTCCATAAGACTTCTTACGATGTTTTCCGTTTTACATCCCTAGTGATGAGAGAATCACGGTCAAGCATGTCATGCTTGACTGTATTGCTTTTTCCATCACGAGGGATAAGTATTTCAATGTAAAAACTGTGAATGATCGCTTTAGTACTGTTAATTTTCATTTAATTGTCGAATTAAAAAATATATATAGGATTATTAGATAGATTTTGATGAATGATTAAATAGCTAAATATTTTATTATTGGTACTTTAGATTAGTAACTAAGTTTGCTAGTGGATGTACCCTTAGCGGCGGTTGAAATATTGTAAAAGTATTCTACTCTTGAGAGGGTATGTAAGTCCCAAGGCATTCAATGTAAATTTAAACCTACTATTATTTTTAATCGTAGTATATATGGTCTTTACATTTGTGGGTAGATTATCTAAAATTGCTAATAGCTGAAGGGATGGTGTAAATCCAGCTATAGTCCATGCAGGAAGCGAATGTACGGTCAGTCCCTATGGTCCCTAGTGTAGTGATCTACCTTCAGTTGTTGGCAGTCTACAGCCTGTTTTTATATTGTATTGTCATCTATAGTTAAACTCTTTTAGATTTAATAACTAGTTTTAAATTCATCTCCGTGATAATCTAGTTATTTTACTGTCCTTCGTTGACAGTTTTTTCATTAATTAATTACTGTATATGCCAATTAATTGTTCTCGTCACGATATGGCTGAAATATTGCAGATGTGACGATAAATTTTCACTCACTCACTCTTACGATGTTTGAGTGCCTCTATGAGGCGCCGGTGTCATCAATGCTCATTGTGGACATACACGTTATTGACTGTGAATTTCATCTTGACTGTTTGACTCTCACTTTGTCCTCATTAGCATGTGTCCGCCAGAAAAAGTTGTAAAGTGCCATTTGCAATCCTATTGTGGAATGATTTTCTTGCCATATTTAAAAGGTCTCATCAAAAAAGTAACTTTAAGTCAGTCGCAATAACTTTTGCCTTTGGGTATATTTTTGCGAACACCACCGAATGTTTGAAATAAGATTATTGGTTTTCTAGAAACCATACTAATCTATTATTGACCACGCGTTCCACGCAGCTTGTTTATGAAATGGGTCTGTAGTTTGATGGATCAGTATGATCCCGGCCAGGTACAACAATGGCGCCATGAAGGGGAAAGTTTCCTGTTGTCCAAATAGTATCCAAAATGTTCAGGAGTGTTTCAAGGCATGGCTTGGGTAAATGTTTCAGGAGCTGATAGTGGATATTACATACTTCATTACAGTCTTCACCATCAGCGCGTGTTCCCATCGAACACGTATCTACTAACTTTTGAATGCCCGGTTCCACCTAGTTCTACAAATGTCGGATGTTTTGCGATGCGTTTGGAACTTTTCATCCAACGACCAACACGTTGTTTTAATTGTCAGAAGTTTGGCCATGGGCAAAATTCTTGCATGAATAAGCTCACTTGCTACAGATGTGGATCATGTGATCATGACAGCAAGACATGCACAACGCAATCAAGTGTTTGCATTGCAAAGGCGACCACGCGGCTTCGTGAAAGGAATACTCAGTTGGAAGTATGAAGCTACTGTCCAAAAACTGAAATGTGAGAAAAGAGTAAGCTTTGCCGAGGCCCGAAAACAAGTTCGTTTAATCATACCAGAAACATCAATCGCCTGTCTTATGCTTCGTCATCAGTTCCTTGCAAAACAGAACAGACGTGGGTTACATCAGGATACCCAAGTGGTAGCTAGTACATTATATTCAGACATTAGCTCAAATCAGACATCAGGAAAACAGAGAAACATCATCATCGACTCAAACTGAATATAACATTAAGCCATCTAAGTCTACTAAAGTGGACTCAGTGTCAAAGACACTGAAAGATATTGTGCAACTCCATAACAGATATGGGTTGCTTGAGGATATGGAGGTATCCGACAATGTGAGCACTAACGGCCATACTAGTGGTAACTCACCAAAAATACAACCGTAATTCAGTGGAACTTCAGATGACTGAGGACTAATTTCAATGAAATACATATATAAGTACAGGATTTTACACCGTCAGCAATCTGTCCACAGGAGATATATTTAAAACAGACATATACTTTTAACTTACGTAATTTCAGTGCAAATCACTATTTCTCACTTCCTAGTGCGAGGGCAACCGGAGGCTCTTCTATCCGTATTATCCACAGCCTTGCAACATTGACTGTTACATCTCCAAGCTGTTGTAGTGCGACGTTGCTTTTACAATAGGCTCTTTATATATCCAACCATCTTCAACTCAACTGGCTGATCTGCAAGCTCCTGATGATCAACCCCATGGACCCTAGTATGGTGATCTATCTTCAGTTGTAGTGTAAATCCAGCTAGGGTCCATGCAGGTAGCAAATGTAAGTCTACATGGACCCTAGTATGGTGATCTACCTTCAGTTGTTGGCGATGCATTGCCCATTGTTACATTGTATTATCCAAAATCGTTGTTTACTTTCAAAGCTATAAGTTAGCTAGTTTTAACTCATTTTGTGCAAAATCTGACAGGGTTTATAAGTTACGTGTATTTATCATGAATATAGAATTTGTTTTAGTCACGATATGGCTGAAATATTGCCGATGTGACTTAAAAACATAACTCACTCACTCCCTCACTGTCTCCAGTTGTTGGCGATCTATGGCCTCTTTTTATATTGTATTGTCCAAATAGTGCTATTAGTTTTAACTTTCCACACTAGTTTTAATTGTAATTGTGATATTCTAGTTGTTTTACTGTCCTTTGACAAAAGATTTTTATAATATATCATTCAGTGCGTTTGGAATCTTTTGTTACACATGACATAATTAACAAACAGCATGCAGTGTCGATCTTTCTTATCTAGAAAAAGCATATGCGACCACATGGAAACATGATATTTAAGGAAATGTGCATGATTTTGGATTACGGGGTCGTTTGCCTCAATTTATATCCAACTCGAATTTCAAGTTCGAGTGGGTTCTACCCTGTCTGATCATTACAATCAGGACCAGGGTGTCCCACAAGGCAGTATATTGTCCGTCACATTATTTAGTATAAAGATTAATAGTTTATCAAAGGCTTTAAATGATTCAATCGATGGCTCGTTATTTATGGATGATTTTAACATTTCTTGTCGTGGCAAAAACATGCATATTACTGAACGGCAAATGCAAATTGTATACATTTCTGCCGTAAATACAAACCGCATAAAGACCCTGTACTATTTCTGAATGGCACCGCCTTCAAAGTTGTCAAGGAGGCCAAGTTCTTGGGTCATATTTTCGATTCACATTTAACCTTTATGCCACATATCTAATCCCTTAAAGCTAAATGTCTGAAGGCCTGTTAAAGGTTGTTTCCACTTCAAAGTATGGAGGGGATCAAACTACACTCCTTCACTTATATAGATCATTAGTGTGATCTAAACTTGATTATGGATCCATCGTATATGTTGGAGCCTGCAAAAGCAACCTACAAATACTTGATTCTGTCCAGCACCAAGGCTTAAGACTTTGTTTTGGGTCTTTTAGAACTTCTCCAGTTGACGGTCTCTGTGTTGAGGCCGATGAGCCAGCTCTTAACCAACGCCGTATAAAACTATCCGTGCAGTATATACACAAACCAAATTCTAACGAGTCACATCCTGCATTTAACTGTGTTTTTGATCCTCTTTATGAGGATTTATACAAGAAGTCTTCTTTTGTTCCATCTCTTGGTCTAAGAATTAAACCATCCATTTTTTCTGCTGCCGGCATTGAGCTAGAAAATACATCTCCTTTTTTTCTTTGTTAGGCCACAACCTTAACCACATTTACAAAATCAGCAACTAATGAATTACAATATAAACAAGAATTTAATCAATAAAAAAATAAATATTATGCATACAAATTACAGATGGGTCCAAGGATGGTGGAGCAGTTGCTTGTGCCACTATCATTGGATCTAGAACGATATCCCCTAGATTACCAGCTGACAGTTCAATAACCACGGCAATATTAACAGCTCTTAAATATACTGAACATCATTGAAATCGCACCAGTCTAAAGTCCCTGGTATGGTGATCTACCTTCAGTTAGTGGCGATCTACAGGCAGTTTTTATATTGTATTGTCCAAATAGTGCTATCAGTTTTAACTTTCCCCACTAGTTTTAGTTGTAATTGTGATATTGTAGTTATTTTACTGTCCTTCGTCGACAGGTTTTTATAACGTACATATGTTCCATTTCAATGTCAAATATTCTCATTTCACTTTTTATTGTATAAATTGTTTTCGTCGCGATATGGCTGAGATATTGCCGATGTGACGTTAACAATTAACTCGCTCACTCACTCAATTGTCCATATTTACATCAAGATGCAATTGGTGTTTTATTTTAGAATTTCTTGTACAATGAACATAGAGAATTTTCTGGGTTTCATCTTCGCTTTATTCTTGAATACAACGTTTCAGGGCTTGTTCTGGCCTCATCATTAGTTTTACCTTAACAATACAGGAGAAAAATATATGATTCTTTATTTATCATGATTTTTTTATGATAAATACAGAAAGTGTTTTTGATATGTGACCAGAAAGTAGTCTATTTATGTGTTCATTTAATCGTAAGCCTTCCTGTGTTCATCTGTATGTGTTTATTTGTATACAGCTACTGTACAAAACGGCATTTCAAAGCTGGAAAGCATGGACCTGTCCTCGATCACGGATCAACTGACGAACCTCAATATCCCTGGCAAAGAGTTCATAGGACAGATGAATGAAATGTTAGATGGGATGCTAACAAAGGTGCGACAAAAGTATAAAAAATATAAGTAATTGATGTGATGTGGAAGATATTTGAGTATTTCAGAATGTGTTTTATTCAGGGGTGCGTAAAAAAGCAAGGTTTTCTTCCAGGAATACCAGTAATTGCTTAACAAAATGAAAGATGTCATTACGCTGGGAAAGTTTAACGCCTAGAGTGCATTTGCAATACTAGCAAAACGTTCCTGCCCACAAATCTTAGTCGAAACACAACGGGGATGGGGAAGGTTTGGGGATTGATTCTAAGCTGGAGGTTGCACGTGTTGTGGGCGACACCTCGGTATAGACCGGTGACGTGGGAATGATCTCTCACGACATCCCCATTCAGGGGCTGGTCGCACATGTAGCAACTCTGAGCCTTTTCGTGATTGTAAGATTGGAGTAACGTTTCGGCCACGTCGAGACCTCGGTAGATCACATCAGACGACCACGTACCCGAACCCGCATGCTTGGTGTTCTTGCATTTTGTACATGAAACTGCTATTCGTTTCGGGGGATGTGACGTGGTCGACCCATTTGATGAATGCTTTGAAGTCAGCGTAAATGACGTAAGGCACGGGCATTGGATGTTTGCATTTATGAACGTTGAGATGTTTTGATGTCCTCGAGGCATGTCGATTCGGATGCAGGTCTTCTTGCTTGAAAACGGTTTTGTTTTTCCACCTTTGTCATTTGAGAGATGGGTGTGGGTTCGTCGACACCATCCATGTTCAGCCCACCGTCTGCGGGATAACTTGAAGGTCTGTTTGTCACTTTCGAATCAGCAGGGAGTAAGGCTGATCTCAGCGCCCATCTTAAGCAGTGATCGTTTTTGTTTTTTACGTTCACCACGGTTTTTTGTTCTTGTAATATGGAGGCAAGTCTAGGTACGATCAGCCTCTGAACGGTACAGAGTTCGCTGTATCCAAATAGATGGTGCTGATACTTCCCACCACCCAACTGGAGACTCTGTGCTTCCATCGTTCCAATGATTCTTGTATTTTTTGTAGTGAGGTATCTAGGGTTGAAGGGATCAAGTCTGATTGAAGTGGAAGTACGACTTCCTGCTTGCCTCTGAAGTAAGGCTCGAAGGACTCGGTACTGCCGTCCGTCTGCTGTTTGTTGAGCGACATGTGGATGGTCAACTGGTATTTGATACTTTTTAAATCATCCAGCTCTTCTTCGACTTTGTCGGCAATCAGAGGTTTGACGCTGTTGACGTCGATGTTAGACTGCATGGTCATTTTCCAGCCTCTCAGACACTTACCCATGGCATGGTCCGTCCGATCTCAACTCGACTGGCTCGGTGTCTTCCAACAAGTTGAGCAGTTGGGCTTTCCTCATGCGAGAATAACCCTACAATCCCCGTTCTTTAGCCCGGAGTTTGAGGTCTCGTGCAGTAGGGGGCTTGACATGTTTCATGTCGAGCAAGGGGAGCAGTTGGGGTTTCCTCATGCATTCCACCAATCCAAGACTTTTAGCGAGAGCTTTGAGTTCGCTGACGGTAGTCATGATTGCTATATCCACATGTAAACTCAAATGTCTAATTGATTTGATATATCCACATGCAAAGTCAAATGTCTAATTGCTTGATTTCAAAGGGAGATAACTCCATCAGCCTTCATTATGTTAAATGAAGCGCACATAAAATCTTTTTCTTTTTTAAAAATCTTTATTCTGAGGAGTTGGTTACGTTCGTTGAGATAATCTTTTTTCTTCTCGTAAATAAGTTGGTTTCGGAACACGTCTGCTCCGTGGGCTTTACAAAACCCATAATGGCATTTCACTCCAATACCGCATACCGAGCACGTGTAATTCACGGTTATCATTTGTACGAGCATGTGGTCCAACTCCATCTTGTAATACATCAATCTGTTTTAAATCTAATAATAATAAAATCTGACATAAACCAAACGGGCGAGATGAATGTCAGGTAAAACAACACGAGAATTTCAAACATCGTCACGGTTTTAATCTATAGGAGGTATACATTTAATTTTGAGAAGCATGTTGCTTGGTTTTGCTAACCAGGTTGCTTGATTTTGCATAGCAGGTTGCTTGATTTTGCTAAACTAGCACAGCGCATAAGCAACGGGTTGGTCTGTTTTCAGCACGAGTTTGGCGTGCTTCGTTTCAGCTAACTAGGTTCTCACGCGTTCTCGCTCAGATTTTGGTGGGAATCATGTCGTTTTCCCTTAAACATTCCTCCGAACGAATCCCTGTCCTTCCAGTGAAACAGGATGACCCATTGCGTCTGTTCTCTCAGGTCTTTCAGGACAGTTGAACATTTGCGTGAAGACCCAAACGCTGTGTTTCATGTGACGTCCCGAAAAGGCCAAATACGATAACATATCTCTCTTTTTGGTGATCTCTTTATTCCCACTGCAATCGTCTAGGATAAACAGCATCAATTCTCCCTCAAACTTCTCGTGAAAGGCTCGCAACCAGTCCTGTAAATGTACTCCTGGGTTGATTTTATGTCATTAAGTCGTTAATCAGCAACACTCTGTTCGTGTATGTTTTATTGATGCGTATCGTAGGGCAAAGAATCACGATAGGATCGAACATATTCCGATAGTACCCTTCCAGCATATCCAAGACAAACACGGTCTTCCCGCATCCCATCTGACCGCACACAGTGTTGCAATGCAGATCGCGAGGCAAGGCAATAGATGGCCTACAGGAATCTTCCATTGTCTATATTAAGCTGCGCATCCATGATCACGTACAAATAAAGGTTTAATTTACACACGGTTTGAGCCTTTTTGCTGCCAGTCTCGATGCGTCGATAGTCATCTGTGGATCGCATGTCCAACCACAGCGTGTACTTGGTCCTCAGGTACTGGTTGACTGTCATGTAGGCGAGACCAAGGTCCTTGACGATCGCGTTGATTTCCAGCTGGCGCTCGTCCCACTGATGGTAAGCCGCATGCCTTGGCTGAACAGCTGGTTGGGCATGCCCTAGACGGTCACCACGACTAATCTTCGGGTTCCAATACTTTTCATTGCCCCTTCGAAACGGCGAAAATTCTTCCACCGACAGGATCAAAATGCCCTTCATCTATTGCATGTGGGTACGTTCAGGTTGATGTTCCACAGCGTGTTGCTCTTGTTCACGATGATCTTCCAATGACGCAACACACGATCGTACAGAATGGCTAATGTGCCCGAATACTGGTTGCGAATCTGTCGAGCCAGTTCCGGATTCGTCACCTTGTAAAACTCCAGCGAAATATTGTCGATAGTGTAGTGACCCTTTTCGCCGCTCTCCGTCACAATCTCACCTACTACCCGTGATGGGCGAACATCAGTCAACGTCAAGGGAACAACAAGCTATTCATTGATGGCAATCGCCACGAACTGTCTCGACGGTTATTACAGATTGTGCATGCTCAACAATGAGATATTCAAACCCATGGGAGCCACCCTCAAACTCAATGAGTCGAATGGTACGCTTACGTTCACGAATGGGGAAAAACCCTTCCGATTCAGTAGGCCCTTGGCTAGAACGCTCAGGTTTCCATCGAACAACCCTGAGACACCATCATGTGTTCGAAATTACCGAGGCTTGTGGTCTATCATGATGTGTTCATTCATCTCAAACAGACAACATTCAAGGCGAACCCCCTTCAACCCTGCTGAGATACGTGCTGGGGAAAACGGAAAAGTGCAACGACGGCAAAACGGAATCGTTTTCGACCTAACAGTACAGAAAGTTAACGCGGAGCAACATCATGGAACTCAAACTATTCGTTTTAGATATAAGACATAAACCCATACATATCGGCTATCTTAGTGCCACGTTGTACATCAAACAACCATGACTCAAGCTTCGGGTCCAGGAACGGCCATGCAAGTTAGAAAATGCACCAACCTAGTAATCTCTGAACTCGGGGACACGCGGCTTCGAAGAACCCGGGGTCGAAAGGCAAGGTATATGCCTTAGAATTAAGAAACAACGTTTACAGACGAAAAGAAGTCAGCAGTGGTGGGGGTAACATAGGAGATTTAGACGATGTCCTCACCATTGGTCTCCTTATAAACGCCCAGTACAATCTCATCTTCAATGACAATAACAAATGGATGATGGTCCCGGCATTCGATGGCAATCTAAGCTATTTAGTCAATGTCGAGACCCGAGGTCTCTTAAAAAACATGTTGTACCAGTTCGTCCTAACCGATGATAACTGATGGACGTTGAACTCCTCACAAATCGACTGGCTACTAGATATCACCCTCGTTTCTCCCTACGTGTTTGCGGAGACGAAGGATCACTATTTAACGAAAGTCCTTAATAAGGGGATTCTCATCGCATCTTACATCCCCTCACAACGAAGGAGGGTGCTCATGAGCCTCATCCCTAGAAATGCAGGTCATTTGTTAGCGAGTCAAACAGATATCCGAAATACGAGTTTACAGTTGGTGCCTGAATTCGAAGACATGTCTAATGTCCTAGAAGGGATTCCAACCAATTCAACGCTTTATATCAAAGTCTTTCTCTGGGAGGCATCACCCAACCAAAATATTGATATTATACCAGTAGTATACTTTAGTTGGCCTCGAAAACATCAAAATAACGTGTGCTCGATTTATATACAGAAAGATGTCTACACTTACGCGAGTCACGAAGATGTCAAAATCGCCCTCACGAAGATTTTTTTACCTCCAAAAATCCATCTCATCAGCTAAAAGTTTATGCTCGAGAAATTATCAGAGAACCAATTGAAGGCTCTTCCCTAATACGAGTATAATCACCATGAGTAATGTGTCAAACCAGGCTACTATCGCATTCTCCGATCTCGGGGACACGAGGAATCGACCAACCTGATACGGAAAATGCCTTGTACGTATTGCACTTACAAAACAGCGTCTACCAACGACGAGAGGTGATACTAAAAGTTGACTGGTTTATTAACTTTAAATTCATCTACCCCTACATAAGTTTAGATGATAATGGTTACATCATCGAAATAAAAAATAAAGGGATTATTTGGACGATTGACACTCCAGCACCTCATTCGATACAACTTTTGCAAATACCAGATCATAGTGGCTCTACGTTAGCCCCCACCCATAAACAAGCCGCACTGATATTTGGTATTCCCTTATATCAATTTGATTTTATAAATCCAGATTTCAGTATGAAATTACATTCAACACTGATTATGGAATGCTATCTTGGAAATGCCCCCGAAAATTAGGTGATCATTTTGGATGGGTTAAACATAATGCAGGGTTAGCGAACATAGACCTCAACGTTGCCATATTTATATACAACCTGGAACAATGGCATTGTGTAATCAAACCTGGAACAGTTCCTGGAGTTTTTGTTCGTATTCCTGATACCATTAAATCCATTATAGTATCAAGGGTTTATTTATGTGAGAATCTCAACCTCATTAGCTATAAATATATTAATCAAAGATTGACGGAGGACCATTTGAAGCTTATTTCCTAACTTATATTATACTCGAGATGGGATTGCATCCGGCCATGGACGAAGTGGCTCAAACGCTCGAAAACATGGATGGATTTTGCTTGCGACAGATCAGCGAAATTAAATGCCAATTGGAATTGGAATGCGACGTGCAACTTCGATTGCAAAAAAAATACCATCGAGCCATCAATGCCATCGACGGCGTGGACACATTTCTCGTGGCAGTTAGCATGGGTTTAGGCATAGCAGGCATTGGCTTTTTATCCACCATCGTGGCCACACCTGTCCTCCTCGGGTTAGAAATAACCGCTGGAGTATAGGGGTTGGCGGGAGCAGCCCTTAAATTCATTTCACGTCGTCTGCAATGAAAAGCGCTGAAGCATGACGAGATCAGGATTCTGGCCGAAGCTAGGTTAAACACAATCGAATGTCATATTTCCACCGCGATCACCGATAGCAAAATCTCTGAGAAGAGGTTCGTTTCGTGATGTCAGAAATCGCGAAATACAACCAAATGAAAGAAGAGATTCAAACCAAGACTCGGAAAACCGCTGACATCTGTGTAGACATGAAAAAAAGCTCATAGAACAGGGTCGACAACATATCATTCAAACCTTCCTTACCAAGAACAAAGATCTCATCAAAGATTCACCTTAAACTATTTTGTTGATGTAAACATAACCTAGTAAAAAATAATAAACCCTCATCGTATTTCTACTTTTCTAGAAACCTACATTAGGTCAACCCGACCGTAGGCAGTCAGGAGAGAGCAGCTAGGCAACAGCTACTGTTTACATCAATGCACATCAAGCAAACTGTTTTTTGTAGATTTTAACAATGTAACTCATACGCATTCCAAGCTTATGTAACCCGATTTTAAAATAATTGATTTTGGCTTATAAATATCTGTTCAGCGTCTGGTTTCAAACATCCTTTTCACTACAACCAGCCAGCAACCCCAATACGGCTGTGTGCCTTGCTTTGTATTCAATACCCGCGTGACATGCCACAGCCAGAGAAATACTCTGACGTCAGGTCTAGACGGCGTTGCTAAGCTAGGCCACCATCTTTGTTTGGCTTAACAACGACGGGTCTCTCAGACCCGGCGTTACTAGGCTGGACGGACATCTTTGTTTAGCTTAGCAACGACGGGTCTGGCAAGCCCGGTGTTACTAGGCTGGATGACCATATTGTTTAACTTAGCAACAACGGTGCTTGTTTCACTTGCAAAAAGTTTCCGCCAATACCCCATCTCGAACTCACGTGGCTGGAGTCCTACGCTCTACCATTGCTCAACCGATCAGTCAATATTCGGAAACTTAGGTCCAGGATGGAAGCACATCGAAGGATGCCTCTCGATAGACCAACGCTGTTTTTAAGAGGGGCTGGGGAACTTATTTAGTACAAATAAGCCTCTAAGCCGCATGTGCGGCAAAACCCCCCCACCCCCACACACTACTACTACTATATGTATTGTTGGTGTCACAATTGCTTATCTAATAACAAAGACACTAGAAAACGTTTTGAAAACATTTCTGTTTATGTTATGATTCCGATTCAATTAGTGATATGGTTTTAAGTCCTGTGAATTTAATTTAGCAATTGTCCTAGTGTTTAAGTGTATTAAGCATAACTTTTTACACAGGGCAAGCAGGCAGTGAAAAGCTTATATGAAAACTCTAAGTGCATCTTACAAAATATTGTGAAACCCATGAAACAATTCTTTGCTCTAATAACCATACTTTCATTTAAGATAACAGAGACAAAAGCTGACCCAGTTGGGGCTTTTACGGAGGAGATGAAAGTTCAAGATGATTATGAAGACAATCAGGCTTATCCACTTGGAAAACCCTTCTACTTTCCTTTCTTCCCACCTGGATTGGCGACGTTCCTCATATCTATTAGGACCTTTCCTACTTTTCATATGTACGTCATCCCTTTAAGAAGATTAAGGTGTGGTTAGTGAAGTGAATTGGTGAAACAGCGTACCTCAGGCTTTGAAAGTATTGCAGTGGTTAATATATGTCGTTAATTGCTAAACTTCCTCTTAATGGAAGCATAAAAATGTCATGATAGGCCTGCTTTGGGTATTGAATATGACACAGATAAGATTGTCGTGCGATCTGACTGCATCAAAGGTACAATCAACTGTCAGTCATGACATTTCGCTTCGAAAATGGGCAAATCTGCTGTTGTAGCAAAGCAAAAATAACTTGGTTTCCGCATTGCGGAAACCTGCAGGAAAGTGGACTGAAACTTAAGTTTCCACCTAGAATCCAGTGAGTTTCCGTCCTTTTACAATTACCCACTTTCTAAGGGTTTCCACAAGGTTTCCGTTACCTACAATCCGACAGGTTTCCGCAAGGTGTCCATTACCCACACTCCAACAAGTTTCCGTTGAGTTTCAGTTAACTTTGAATCCATCAGGTTTCCGCAAGGTTTCAGTTACCAACAATCCGACATTGATTCCACATAGTTTTCAGTTGAGTTTCAGTTAACTTTGAATCCATCAGGTTTCCGCAGAGTTTCAGTTACCAACAATCCGACATAGATCCCACATAGTTTCAGTTACCAGTTTCAGGTTCACAGGTTTTCATATGCGTTTCAAAGAGCCAAATTTAAACATTCTTCTTTATTCATATTATAAACTCCTGTTAAAACAATATGAGCAATTTGTTATTATTATGACGTTTACTTAAAGAACAACAGAATATATAATAAGATTCACTGTTTTATTTTCTCAATATGAATATGAATTAGCATTTAAGGAAAATAAAGATCGTACATATAACTAATAATACAGCACTAAAGAACAGAGCAGAACATTTTCACATAACTCAATCCAGTTTAAGAAATCATATATCATTTATAACAAAGTAATCATTTTTCATCAGTTAAACTTTCATTCAGTTATTATTTTGAAATAGCATTTAAGATATGAAATTTGTCTCTAAAATCATGCTAATGTTGAAAAATAAAAAACCGCACAATTTAACACAGTAATAAAACATAGCTGCATTGAACATTTATTTGCATGCCTTGGCATTCAGCCACACACTCTATGTCACAACTATCGCCAAACATCCACTATGATTTTACATCATACAGTAACACAACATACAGCTTGCAATACAAAAATAACATAAAATAAAAATTACATTATGAAATTGAAAATAAAGTCAGTTAAATTGCAAGAGTTGGTCAGTTAGTGTATAGCTAGCCCACTTAGGGGCATCCCTGGGCGGAGATCCCTCTGTTATTTTGGCTGGATGCCTCATTATCATGTCATGCCTTGGATAGAGCAGTGGCGGCGTTGATTCTTTCCAAGTCCAGTGTTGTCGTGTATGCCCTAAGCTTGCTGGACTCGCAGACAAAGGGGACAGAATTCAACTAATTGACGTCATCTTCGTCTCTCATGGTTCTGTCATGTCTATGGTGAGTGTTGTCGCTACCTTTTTCTTTCGTCTATCTGGCCAATCGATAGGTGCAAGTCTGTTTAGGTGCTGTGCAAGTTTCTGAAAATGGCAGGTAATAACAAATTACTAGTTTTTTTAATATATTATACAAACATCAATCAACAAAAAACTGACAATGCCAAGGATGATTCAAAATAAGTAATCCAAAAGGAAGTTTGAAATAAAGAAATTGAACAATCACACTTTGCACTGGTTTTCTCAAAACTCAAATTATGCAATTCATCACACTTCATTGACCAGATGAAATATTTTATTTTCTAAAGAGGACACACCATCTATACAAAATTTGCTCTGGAGTTACGTGCTTCCCAGACCAGAGGTAGTAATATGTTATATATATCTGAACATTTATTGCATTTTCTATATAGTAATAATGGCACTAGTAATAGATTTTCATCAAATTGTGAATGCTTACACATGACAAAGGGGTAAGCATTCACTCTGAAACATGTTTTCACATAAACCTTGTCTCTACACTATTTATTGGAAATTATTTACTGTTTATAATGAAAGTCACTACAGAGGTCAAATTACCTTCACTATTTCCTGCTGACCACCCTTGGTCATTATACAGTCTCCAGACTCCTCCTCATCAGCTTTGCTGAAAAAATAAACAATAACACGTTACCTTTGTATTTCCCCATTCATTCATTCAAGTTATAAAAATACCCAAACATTTGCAGTAACATTTAAAATAGCAAGGAAACTACAGACTTATCACTTCAAGTTATGCAATCAGTAAGTGAACGGCCTTACATAAACATCCTGATGAATGTGAAGTTTAGTTATCTCATGTGACATATAACCTTGGAGTAATTACGGTATTGTAAAATCAAGGGGTTAGTTTGATTGCAATTTCACACAGGTGTGCAGTTAAGCTTTATTTGGTCCCATTTGAATTCACGATTAAGTTTACCGGTTATTCAAATCCATTTGCAAATGCAACTTTAGTATGGTTCATTTTGCGAAAATGTATCTAGGGAAGCATAATAATAAAATATTCAATGTGAAATTATGTCTATGTTTCGTAGTACCATAAACACGTACCTTCAATGAGCAAGGGTGATCTTTTCCTCCAGGAGTAGTCGTGACAAACGTTTTCTCACAACAGACTAAATGAATAAAACAAATCCATTAATATATAATCTGTTTGCTATATTTTTCAAAATTGTAATATTTTTTTAGATAGATTTATTTTACTTCACCAACCTTGGAGATAGTTCGAGCAAGACTGTTAATACAATCATGGGACTTAAGTTTTCGTCATTCGCAAAATTCGCATAGACTTGCATGCTATTTTAGTGTAGCTGCGTAATGTTCATTAATTCAGTTTCCCTTATTTCGTTGTCAAATTTTGCAGGTTGTTAGGAAATCTTCTTGGTCACAGATACATAATTTCCATGTAAAGTTCCTTAAAGTATTTTCCGCATTGTAGTCACATGAGCAACATATAAACAACAAAGATCTAGATAGAATTTCACAATGGGCCCGTAAGTGGCTGGTTACATTTCATCCAAATAAACCCGAAACTACTCAGTTCTCACGTAAAACGAAACCGTCTCTAAAACCGAACCTATTCATGGACGGAACAATCGTAACAGTAGTCAAAAAGACATTTATCAACAGGACTGGTATAATGAAATAACGTCATCAACCTGTGTCAACTTTTATTCAGAATAGAAATATTGTATTAATACAGAAATTTACCTTTCAAAGATTAAATCACCACAACTTAAGCGTACGCTTACTAAATTTAGATGTAACGCTTACAACTTCAAAGTCCAAGCGGCGCGATTTGCCAAAACTTCAAATGCAATAGATATCCAATGTCCATTCTGCAATTTATTGCAAGAAGATGAGTACCATGTATTACTTGTATGCCCGAAATATTTAGAAATAAGAGAAACATATTTGCCTTATTTTTTCAATAACCAACCGTCGAGACATAAATTCTGTATGCTACTTCGCACAGAAAACATTGACTTGTTGTTTAAGGTAGCCCGTGTGTTGTACCACATACTTAGGTTGAGAGAAAAAATGTAAATTGTGAATGGGTTTTATGAATTTATTGATGTTCCTATAGCTCGCGTATTTACAGGTTGCGCATAAATGCACTGCTATTATTGTACACATGTACTATTGGCCTCAGGGCCACATATACAAATAAATATGTCTGTCTGTCTGTGTCAAAAGTCATAAACATTTAGGAATAACACTCCAAAGCGATTGTACGTGGAATGATCACACAAATGATATAGTTCGTAAAGTTCGCCCTATGATCAGTTGCCTGAGGTGTTTTAAATACGGACTATCACGTAAAACGTTGGATATTATGTATAAGTCCTATATCTTGCCAATATTTGACTATTGTTCGCATATTTGGGATAACTGTACGCCTGAGCAATCGCGTACATTAGAAAATTTACATCTTGATGCACTGAGAACTATATGTGGTGCCGTTCGTGGCACAAGTCATACCAAACTTTTTAATGAAACCAAATCTCAGTCCTTGCAAGATAGAAGGTATTGCCAGAAGTTAACTTTTTTCTATAAGATGTACAACAACCAATTGCCAAAATATCTTTGTGGCCTGATCCCAATCTCCGTCTCCGAAACTTCAAACTAGAGCTTGAGGAATAACTCTGAAATACAAGGAATTTACAGTCGCACTGCCTCTTATGCTAAATCCTTTTTACCTGCCACAATAAATTTATGGAATGCCCTACCAAATTCCAAAGCGTCATGTAATCTCACAGAATTTAAAAACCAAATTACAAAAACTGAAAATAAGATTTACTTTGACCTTAATTATGGCACTCGTTTTTGCCAAATCGTCCACTGCCGCCTCAGGCTCGGATGTAGCGACCTAAACGCCGATAGGTATAACAGACATTTAATAAACAGCCCATGTTGTTCTTGTGGACGTCAGAGTGAAAACGCCCTACACTATTTCCTCACTTGCCGTAACTTTACTCAACAATCTTCTCATGATTGACTTATATATCTACAATGGCTTGTTAGACACACACAACTGTAACTCTCTAACTTATGACTACTTAGAGAATAGTTGTATTTCATGTAATCTGTAGATATATATACATTTTAAAAATATTATATTTATGCAATGGTCAGTATCGATGACGTCAAATCCTCCATTTACATGTTGTATTATATGTTGCATGGGAGCGGTGTTAATATAAGCAGTATGGTTTGTTTCACATTATTTTTCAACTCCACTGTCATGTTTCCGGTTTGGTCGTATGCTTATCGATAGTGTAAATGCACTCTAAATAAAAGCTGTTATGAAAATTATTTACGTTGTGACAACTTACCATAGCTGAGTACATACTTCCATTTGCCTCCGCTTTTGAATAATTGATGTCCTATTTTGGTTGCGATTTCATCAGAGATGTGTTTGTTCAGTTGTGAGAAGGGGATGTCTGGGAAGAACGGTTGTGGTGAGATGTATTTATACAAGAGCTTGTTG